TGTGCAGGCCGTTTGCACGTTTAGGGGGGTGATAAAGTGTGCCGCGCTGCAAAAACAATTACACCCCTCCTTTGCAGTCGCTGCCGGGGTGTTCATTTTTTTTAACCCAGAAGAACCCTACACAAAATGAAGGTACTTTTTTAATGAAAAGCAAAGCGCCTATCCGTGGCTAACACGCGCCGTTCATCCCCAAACTATTGGGATGAACGGCATAGGCTAAAAAACATCATATATGTATGTTGTGGGGATTTAGAAAGCGTGAGGTTAGGTTGCCCGGAAATAACACCTCGCGTCCTGGCTATAGATGGGCAATTTAGATGGTGCAGCACTGCTGGTAAACTGACATCTATAGCCTGCATAAACCAGTTGTGGCTTGAGGACTGTACACCGGTCTAGTGCTCATCCAGGTACAAAAAGGGCAGGGGATGAAATGAGCAGCAGGAAATATTGCAGGTATCTTGTACACGAACTTTTTTTTCTCCTGCTTACCATTTCACACGAGTTATTCGGATACGTTGTAGCTTGTTTTCTTTGCTCAAATAGTAGCTCTACTTTCTCTTTATAGCCAACAGCGTAGCGGGAGCTATATCTGCGAGAAATTTCGCCTTCAAAATCACAAGAGCTGCGCTATTAAGTTCTTATGCAGGTTACTCACTCGCGGTTTTAATCTTTGCAGCAATCCTCGTTAACTAGATCTAGAGTTTAAAACGTTCATGGATATGCGGACTGGTTACACTTTTAAAAGGTGCATGGAATCTCGATAGTCCCTTAACAATGTTTAAAACATTATTCGCATTGAGTTTGAGCCGTTAACGTTTCAGATTTCTATTCGTCGATTATAAGTTCGCCAACACCAAAACGTGAACGCATTACAAGTTTCTGCTTATATCATTCTAAAGTCGCCATTTAACATTTCGCGGTAAAACAGCGCAACGGGGAAAGGGCGAGGGGAAGACGAGGAAGCACACTTCGGTGACTATGATCTGAAAATTTCTTTTTCACGCTACCTCTAAATAAATACAGTGACAAATGCCGAATAAGCATTGCACCAAGACAAAAAGAAGGCTGCGTTTGTTACCCGTATCCGCTCATCAAGCAACCAGCCCAAACAAACCTTTTAGCAAACCTCATTTATATTGTAGAAAGAGTATCGCTGAATCGAAAACAACCGCGCTTATTATTCGTTCAAAGTATTTGTAAATGTATTGGCTGAGTGCTTTCGTCTACGCCCTGAAGGGTTTTTTCCAATGGTAGCATGTATTTATTTCGGCAAATGAAAAATTCGAGATACAAGTTTTAGCTCATAATCCGACTTGTTGCGACGATTAGTGCCCTACATCATCTCCCTCTTGCCGTGTAGCTTACATGACATTTTAAAGACATATATGCAAAGCCTAAAAAATCACACTATAGAATGAAACCGCCAGTGCCGAAGACTAAATTCCAAAATGATGCCAAGGGCTTTAATACCAAGATGTTTCGTCAGCGTTGCTTGTAGGTGTTTATTTCCTTATAAATTACGTTCAATACACTGATAATACAATGTTATTTTGTGTTTCTACTGAACAGTGTTGTTACTCTTTCAAAACAAATCTACACAATGCATAGTGCCCACGTGGGGCCTCGGTAAATTTGAGCGGAGTAAAGCAAGTATAAAAACAAAAAGGCACTTTAGTTGTGCTATGAAATATAAGATACTATGGTGACAGCTGCAGAAAATGGCTCGAAAGATGAGTACACAAGGAGTATCCCCCGAAATAGCGTCCTCCAGAACAAATCGTTGCAACGTATCACGTCGCAGCGCGAAATGACACATTCCAAAGTGCACTCCAGTTTGACGTGTGGAAAGACGTGAAAGGAAATACCACTGGCGAATCAGTACGACCAGACATAAAGAAACAAGCCTTCACACTTTCGGTTGAAGTATCGGGCCCTAGGAACATGGAGCAAATAAAAAAACACATTCACAAAAAGAAAAAAAAAAACTTTCATAATAAACGTTAGTCAAGAGTTGTTGGAGCTGTTACGGTTGTATCGCTACCAATTGTCCAAATGGACGCGAACGAAATTCGATTACGAAACCAACAACTTGGCCAAAAAAGTGCAATCGAAACGCGGCGTGGATGAAACTGGATGCTGGCGTCTCGCTTGTGGCGTGGCGTTGCGGCGTGTGCAAGCGCTAGCTGTATATTTGATTGGGTCAACAGTGAACAGAGGCTAGCGCGACGCGACACAAATAAGCAAGCGAACGCTGAAAGCTCTGGCAGTTCCTCTTTAGAGGCATTTCTACAAAAACGCTTTGCGAGGATCCCGGGTGCGGTGTATATTTGCTGGTTGATAAATCTTTTGCTTGTTCTTGGCATTAGCTGTTTCCAGATGGGCAGCGACACTTCACGTATTTGTTATTTTGTTTTCTTTGCTTCTATCCACTCTTCGCAAGTTCTTATTTTTACTTCTTTTATCACGTGAAATCGATAAGCTAAAACGAATCGAAATATATATTTTGTTCACTCTAGCAGGTTCACTTCAACGACGCAGAGGTAGTGCGCCATCATCCTTCCTAAAACTTTTTTTTTTCAACATCCTAAATTCTGCATTTTTTGGCCTTCGTGGGTTCATATATGTTTTCACGATACGTGTTGATGGAAATAAAATGAGAAGTATTCTGAGATTGCGCCTGTACACAAATAGTAATAATAACTGCCTGGGCTTCATTTTAACACAGATCTGTGACTCAAAATGGCAGCGCCGGAGTTTCATGCTGGGTTTATAATTTTCTAGATTTGTCCGATAATTCTACAACGAACTAATGCGACACGGAAATACTTTATTGTCTAAAAAATTGGGTTGTGTTTATGTTTATACAGCCTAGAACATGGTCTGCCTCGACGGGCGACGAGTCTCCCAGCTATAGATGAGCAATTTAGCTAGTGCAGTACAACCGCTAGCCTAGGGTCTTTAACGTGCAGCAAGCAGTAGTGATACACGACAGCACCGGTACGATGCTCATACAGATCGAGACGGGCAGGGTTGGGGATTGAACCCAGGATCCCTGAGTTCTGCAGCGCGAGCTTTCGCTCCACGTGCTCCGAGCTGGTGTGCGCTTGTCCACTCGGCCACCGATCCCCCTTTTTTGTTTCAATTTAGCTACAGTATGCTAACGAACGCTTAAAGGACAATTTAAGCGGCTCGCAAAAAAAGGTTTTTTAAGGAATCGCCCTGCGATATACTATAGAGATTCAAGCCGGCGGCTAAAATTAAAAAAAAAAAAAAACAATCAGGAAATACATTTGCCTTGATTAAAAAACAAAAGAAAACAAAAAACAAACCAAAAAAAAAGGAATTTGTTTTGGGAAGTTTACGCCACCAGTTCGCAGGCGATGCACGCGTAGTGAGAAGTGCTGCCGACAGGTGGCGGACGAGGTGGCCGATCCTAAAGCCCCTTGATAAAGGCGTTTTTTACAAGTACCGCCAACCATTGTTGTGGAACCGCGCGAGACACGTGCCACAAGCTGGTGCTCCGCCGCCATTCGCTTCCTAGGGCCGCTCATTTCAGTGCTCCGCCGCCATTCGCTTCCAAGAGCATCTCGAGACGCGGGTCTCGTGCACTCGCGCATTTGACGCTACTTGCATGACAAACGCAAACATATCGAGGGGCTTTAGCCGATCCTGGTTATGATAGCAGACGATCCCTCAAAATAACCCGAATCGGCCGGCGCTACTATGGTGCCTGGAGCGCGTTTTCGACTGGTGTGTTTAGCGTCCTATGCCGCCCATAGATCAAGAGTGGTCCGAAAGGGGCAACAAATGACGTCACAGAAGCCGGAGTGTCATGCTGTTGCCTGCCGCGATCCTGGCGGTTGGCCGTAGGAATTCTGGCGAAAAGCACGAGCGAACGGGAGCTTCGCTGTCGTCATGGCGTCCCAGGCGTCCCAACTTCCGGCTGGTTTAACTTCTGTGGACTGTCACAGTGGAGAGCGACGTACAGCAGAACAGGCGTCTGCCATATACACAACAACTGTTGAGACGCCGCCAGGATCGCGATCGGCGACAGCATGACACTTCTATGACGTCATCAGGCGGAAATCGAGGGACCACTTTTTTGGAGGCGGTAAACACACCAGTCGGAGACGCTTTCCAGGCACCATAGCGCTACCTCGACGCGGCTTACGCCACTAGTCGGCAGCACCTTTCACTTCGCGTGCATCGTCTGCGAATCGGGAGCGTAGACCGCACAAAACCGATTCCTGTTTTTTTTTTTTTTTAACGAGGTAAGTTCCTTTTTTTATTCTTTTACTGTAAACTTTTACCGCCTGCTACCGCTGCTACCACCTATTTAGTAAATTGCAGCGCAATACACAGGGAAAAGATTTTTTGCTGGCCGTCTAAACTGCCTTAAGAGCGTTAGTTTACATGCTGTAAATTGCCATGTGGACATCATTGGATATGGGTAAAATATGCAGTAAACCATGCGGAGAACACAAAAAAAGAATAAAAAATGTAACTGTATTTAATGCGCACAGTCTGCTCCAGAAGTGCTCTAATCTTTGTACGTCATAACAAAGAATTTTCAAAACAATCTATACCGTAATTACACGCATAACCTTCTTTGAAATTACTACATATATAAGATGCGATGGTTTAAATAATATCCTTTTTGATCTGTTTCATTATCGTAAATTGTAAAATAAAAAAAAATCGTCTTAGCTCTTTTTTTTTTTTTAATTATAAGCATTTCCCATCCCAGCTCGCCCTGGGTGCTGACATGCCAGAGTGAGGTCAATAGTAAATAATGAAAAAGTGTGCTGCAAAATTACCAAGATCTTTTGTATATTTTTAGGATAGTCATTATACGGATGTCATATAACACAACCGTAAACCAAAGTAGATCTCACAAAACGTGTAAGCGAGGCTTGCCCCCATCAGCAGCAGTAGTGAAAAGGGGTGACCATATTTGTCTAGTTTTCAGCTGACATTTTTCGTTTCCTCTTCTGAAACAGGGGTTCGTGGTGGCGCTGCTCTACTGCTTTTTGAACGGCGAGGTAAGTCAAATTTGTGGTACGGATATTTAGTTTCACGGAAACTACGTCAGCATTAAAATTGCATCCCGTCTCCACCCATAGTGTCTTAGAATACGGGTGGCAATTTCAGTCATGTAACGTGATGCTTTCTCGGTGGGGGGGAAGGATTCCGCCAGCTACGCATTTATTGAACTGATGTGCGAATTCAACACGTCATACTATAGTCGCGCTATCACCAGGGTTATGACCTTGGTCAACACGAGAGCGGGAGCAAGATATAATTTGTATTTCGCGGAGCGAGCGAAAATAGCCTAAGTAGACGGTTCGTCTGCTAACGCCAGCGATGTGTGCGGTTCGTCTTCTTCTAAATCTCATTAGCAGACAGACATTAAAAAGAAAACAGCGAACGCCGTTTGCTCGCAGACAGGGGGAAAAGTTGATCGTCTACTACGAACGGAGCGCCGGGGCTAGGTGACATCGGACGCAGGCTGAAAATGGGGTAGTCCGCTAATTCACGTTGCAGGTCTCGAACAACCCGCGCTTTGTTTGAAAGTGGGAAGTTCGTCGGCTGCCGTACAGAAGCTGGCATCGACCAGTAGATACAGTAGTATAAAGGACAAGCACACCAGTGGCCACGAGACCTCTCTCGCTGTGTGTCTTTTAATGATACATTCTCACCAAAATATCGCCCGATTGTGTACTGTCGAAGGAGTTAAAACTGTCTCATTAATTGACTCGCGCATGCTGTGCCGCAAAGTGCAATGATAAGCCGAGAACTCTGTCGCTTTTTCTATAATCAAAATCGGACTCTAGTCGAAGCGGCATTCCAAGCATCATAATATGTCAAAATAATGAGGGACGAGAAGAGATGCTTCATATTAGTATCTACAGGGGAAGTGACAGGAGTGTATCTAGAATATTCGTGAGGTGGCAGGAGTGCTCTTCTTTGTTAACCTTTGCAACCCTGTGCTTATAAAACAAATAGAAAATGCCAGGAATGAGTTCTGTCTTTTTTTCCGTGATATGTCTGGTCTTGAGGCTCAAAACACTATATCGGCCCCTTGCTTGTGAACATATTCGTGCATAAAAATATGCAAAAGTTGCGAATTCACTTGGTCGCCGACGGTAATAAAACTGAGCAATTGTACGGATAATGTTTAATTGGGACTCGCAAGATGAGTAATAAATTCCCCCTAAAAATTGATTTCTACGAGGAATTCCTAATGCAGTATGGGGTATGCTGTTGGAAATTGACTAGTGGAGGGCGATTCTGTCCCGCGCCTGTGACATTTTTTGGTGAACGAGATCGTGTCTGGGACTGAGGACGAAGAAGAAGGGATGGCGCGTGAAGAGACATTCTGGTCTTTGGGGCGACGAAAAAGCAGGGCAATTGTCGGGATGGATCTCGCCGCGGTCATGTAAATATTAAACCAAGTCCTTTTTATAAGTCAGTTCGTGGCGACTCATTACGCAAAAGATGGTGCCGAAACCCGGAACTTCAAGCCAGGAACGACCCTAAGAAACCGTGAACGATCGGTCGACCCGGACTGACTTTCGAACGAACGACCACGTAAGAGATTCTTTCAACTGCCGGTTATTACCTACCCTGGAACGATATGGAAAGAATAAGAACGAAGAGGACGTCGAGACGAGCGCAAAACACCCGCATAATCCGAGAGGCGACCACTATTCTTCGGTCTACCGACGTGGAACAAATCGAAGCGACTCTGCGGAAACTGGACGTCAACTACGAAGAACCACATCTTTTGCGTAATGAGTCGCCACGAACTGACTTATAAAAAGGACTTGGTTTAATATTTACATGACCGCGGTGAGATCCATCCCGACAATTGCCCTGCTTTTTCGTCGCCCCAAAAACCAGAATGTCTCTTCACGCGCCATCCCTTCTTCTTCGTCCTCAGTCCCAGACACGATCTCGTTCACCAAAAAATGTCACAGGCGCGAGACAGAATCGCCCTCCACTAGTCAATTTCCAACACATTCCCCCCAAAATGAGCGCGAGGGAATCGCTCATTCACTATGCAGTTCTAATGGGTACAAAAGCTGAAGTGGTCTCTTCAATATTTGTCCCCTCGGCATGTTCACAGCATAGGATCGCACAATACCATCCCGGCCGTGGTAAACTTCTCGGATCCGACCAGTCCGCCATAGATGCCTTGGAGTCTTGTTGTCCTCGACGAGAACGAGGTCTCCTTCCTTAACTTGACTGTCTTTACGACAATGCGTTTCATGTGCTGACCGGAGTTGAAGTAAGTAATCTTTACGCCACCTCTGCCAAAAGTGGTCTAGTAGCCGCTGCCGATGCCTCCAGCGCCGAGTGACTTCACTCCTAGTAGATGGCTGAAGGTCCTCCATAGCTGAGGTTGGAAGAGCTGTCAGCCGTTTACCTGTCAGAAAATGTGCCGGAGTTAACGCTTCTGGTTCGTCGGGAGACGCATGTAGGAATGAGAGAGGTCTTGAATTAACGACCGCCTCAATTCCGTGGAGGATGGTGGTAAGTTCTTCAAATTCGTAGCTGTTCCTTCCTAGAACCGTTCGAAGACTTGTTTTCACGGTGCGCACTAGGCGTTCCCAAAATCCGCCCCACCAGGCGGCTCGCTCTACGATAAATTTCCACTGTATCCTATGCTCGGAGTAGTGTTCGTGCACTTTCTTGTCATTGAGCACGTTCCAGATGTCGCAAATTTCCTTGGAGGCTTTCTTGAAAGTTAAAGCGTTGTCACTGTACACCACCCGAGGTACTCCTCGCCTGGCTGTGAACCTCTGGAAGGCCATGAGGAAGGCTGGAGTAGCCAGGCATGTGACCAACTCTAGATGTACGGCGCGCGTAACTGCGCAGGTAAATAGTGCGATGTACGCCTTCTCCATGCCGTGTCCAGACTTGACCAAGAGGGGCCCGGCAAAGTCCACTCCTACTATTTCAAACGGCCCTGCTTCATTTACGCGCTCTGCTGGAAGCGGAGCAGTTGGTGCTGATGCCTTTTGGGCTCTTGACCGAGCACAGACGTTGCAGCGGTTAATAACCCTCTTCACCGTCTGCCGAGCTCTGGGAACCCAATAGCGTTCTCTTAACTGGGTTACGGTGTCTTGTATTCCTCCATGGAATGTAAGTCGATGCATGCTGTCTATCAGAAGTTCTGTGAAGCGATGCCCAGAGGGTAACAGTAGTGGGTGCTCGACTTCTACTGGTTCGTGTCTGTTTTGGAGTCGTCCTCCGAGTCGCAGTTGCCGGTTGGCATCGAGGTAAGGACTGAGAGCAATAATGCTGGATTGCGCGTTCAAACTTCTGTCTTCCACTAGTTCGTTGATCTCATTGGTGTAGGATTCCTCTTGGGTTCGTTTAATCCAAAACAGTTCTGCTTTCTCAAGTTCATCTGTGGCCAGAGGACCCCCCGTTTTACTTGGTGGTGTTCTGCAGTTCTTACAGAACCTCATGATCCACGCTGTAACTCGAAGAACACGTTCTAGTTTGCTGTATCGCCCTAACTCCAAGAGCGGTATCGTTTCCTCGGTTAGTATATGTAGCACGTGAGGTTTACACCTTCGTTCTTCTTCTGCAACTTCGGTCGACATCTTTTCGGTTATATTCGTACTTGGCCAAGTTGTTCGGTCTTCTGAGAGCCAACTAGGGCCCTCCCACCATAGTTGTTTCTTTTTTAGGTCCTCTACCGTGGTTCCAGGTGTTGTTAAATCAGCTGGGTTTTCTGGTCCAGGGCAGTGGTTCCAACTTGTTGGTTCCCCTCCTGATTGAATTTCAGTCACCCTATTAGCAACCAAAGGTTTCCACTTGGAGGCCGAGCCCTTGATCCAATGAAGAGCGATTGTGCTGTCGGTCCAGAAGAATGTCTCCTGAAACTCCAGTATCCTTCTGAGAAATTTTCCAATTCGATTACCGATCACGGCCGCCATAAGCTCGAGACGAGGAAGTGTCAACCGCTTTATAAAAGCTACTCGTGTTTTGGCGAACACCAGACTGACGTCTACGTTTCCATCCCTGTAGTCAACCCTCAGGTACGCACAGGTTCCATAAGCGAGAGGGCTAGCGTCACAGAAGACATGGAGTTGTACAGTATTTTGATGCTGTTTTCGTGTGCTCATGATGCACCGGTTCGTCACTATGTCTTCTATCTGTGGAAGCTCCTTACACCATTTTTGCCAGTCTCCTGAGAGGTCTTCAGGAAGTTCACTGTCCCAATCGAGTCCGCGTTCCCTTAGGCGCTGGAACAAAATCTTCACTCTTATCACAAAGAGTGCTACGAGCCCGAGTGGGTTGAAAACCCTTGCTGCAGCCCGTAGCATTCCCCGCTTCGTCCTGTCGTTACTGTCGATGAAGTTCAGGATATTTTTTACCGGAATCAATAAAGTGTCATTATCCCGTCTCCATTTCAAACCAAGGACCCCTCTTGGTTCTGATAAGTCTGTTGCCAAGCTACCTTCGTCGATCACTTCTTGGAGTTCGCTGGAGCTTGTAGCCCATTTTCGAAGTGTCATGCCGGCTTCTTTCACGATTTGATTGGCTTGGGTTTGAAGGTGCCTAGCGTCCGCTACTGTCTGAGCTCCGACAAGCAAATCATCTACATAAAAAGACTTTTGAAGAAGACTTGCGGCTTCCTTCATTTCCCCATTCACGCTTTGCAGGTGATCTTTGAGTGTTGCCGAAAGTAGGAATGGACTCGCCGAGGTTCCAAACGGCACGCGGGTCATCCGCCATTCTTCAACCTGGTGCTCCTCTGCCGGTACTTCAGCAGTGTCAAACCATAAAAATCGCAGTGCGTCACGATCATCAGGCTGCACGCTTACATGTAAAAAGGCCTTTTCTATATCGGCTGTGATAGCGATAGGGTATGTTCTAAAACGTATAAGAATCTCGACCAAATCGGCGTTCATCTTTGGCCCCTTTTCAAGATGGTCATTCAGTGAGGCAACTCCTTGCGAATGTGATGATGCATCGAACACCACTCTTAGTTTTGTGGTTTCAGAATCCATCCGAATCACTGCCT